ATATTATCAGATATATATCGGGATATTATCAGAGATGTTAATCACTGTGGTTGAGAGTTACAAGGACCATATATTGTAACATGCATTGGATGTGAGAGCAAATTATTTGTAAATATTTCCAAATAACTTGTGATAGTTTTGAAATTTCAAAATGCGTTTAGGGCATTTTTGAAATATTTTGAAATTTTTGTGGAGCTATGTGGAGAAACACAAATTGGACTTTTCTTTTGATTGGGAATCCAAGGAGGAGAGTCTCCTTGGGCCTACACAATAAAGAACATTTCAAAATCATAACCATTTTGTGGGCCAAAAATAAGGACATATACTTCACCGCTTCCATAAATTTTAGAGACTTCAGTCACCTAACTTTTGTAGAACTCCAGGAATAAGGACATATACTTCAATGCTTCCACGACTTTCAGAGTCTTAAGTCACGTCTTAAGTCACCTAACTTTTGTGTTCCATTTCTGACCGCTTAAAATAGTGATGATCTAGGTTGTGGAGGTTATCATCGAAATGTAAAATCTAGAGACCTTAAGATACCTATGTTTGGGTTTAAGGAGAAGAAGTAAATATACATTATGCTCCCATGCGTGAACATAATATTTTGCTTTTTTTTCTCCTTCCAGCAATAGTGCGGTTTGCAGAGAGCCAAGACTCTAAACAATCAAATTAAAATACCCCTTCAAATAGTGTCGAAAAATATGTTTTCAATATTGGAATTTTTTGTGACGGCTTTAAAATATATTTTTATTTTTAATTATAAAAGTTAAAGCTTCAAAAAATAGTGTATATCGAGCAGATCTATAAAAACTAAAAAATTTTGAAAATTGGCGGTCCAAAACTATGGTACAAGATGCACTATTTTCAAAATATGAAATCCATTTTTTTCTCATGTCCATACATCTTGATGTCGATATGATCAATTTGAGGATATTTAGACATCAAAACATCCTCTTCTAGTAAATTTTTGAGATGGGATTTTATTTCATTATTTAGAGCCTCGGCTCTATATAAATTTTTTCCAATAAATAACAGCAAAGCGAATGAACCATTAACATTCAATGAACTTGCATTTTTTATCAAGTTGAACAAGCAACTTGATAATGAAAGTGATGCAACATCTTAAAAAATGAAGTTTTTTCCTTTCTTTTTTTTTTCCAATTTGAGCTGGAAATGTTAGGTCTTCAGCTAGAGAAGATTTTAGTTCTTTTAATTATTAAAATATTTAAAATATGAGTAATTATTTTATAGGACCCTCCCCCACCCATGTGTGTAAGACCCCAAAAGATCACCATTAAAGTTGGTACGAATCTCTAAAAAAGTTATCACATAGGTGTGGGACTTGACTTTTCTAGAGATCCGCATCAAATTTAATGGTAATTCTTTGAGGTCCTACACACATGGGCGGGAGACGGTTCTATATGATCATTTCTCTTAAAATATATAAAAGAATATGTATAAATAGATCCTTCAACTGAATAATAAAATTTAAAATTAGAAATCTTGTTATTTGAAGATTCAGTCCATGATCATTAACTTACAAAATATCCATGTGTGTAGGACCCCAAAGGATCACTTTAAAGTTGGTACGGATCTCTAAAAAAGTTATCATATGGGTGTGGGACTTGACTTTTCTAGAATCCGCATCAAATTTAATGGTAATTCTTTGAGGTCCTACACACATGAGTGGGGGACGGTCCTATGGGATCATTTCTCTTAAAATATATAAAAAAATATGTATAAATAGATCCTTCAACTGAATAATAAATTTAAAACTAGAAATCTTTTTATTTGAAGATTTAGTCCATGATCATTAACTTACAAAATATCTCCCATTCACCATTCCTATTCAATGTAACCATTGGATATTGAAGTTGTAAACATCCAACATTTTATATTTAAAACTAGTGTTTTGAAGTTTGAAGATGAAAGAACCTGGAGGATTGCACCCTTATCATAATAAGTAAAGCATCACCTCAAAACTCACTGATCGTAGCTTTGGCATCAGAAAATCTTCAAATCAATCATGTCTGCTTTTGACAATTGTGATTCTATAAAAATAAAAAAAAGAAAAAAAAACAACATTTAAACCTTGAAAATAATGTATATTGTAACACATTGTCTGAACCATCCATTTTGTCTCAAAATTAAGTGGTCACCGGTCTGCAAAATCTGGAATTTTTTTTACTAACAAATTTCACAGTCGGTGTTGGAGCCATTATGGATGTTTCTTATGCCCAAATTACTTTATGGACAAGGATTCTAGGTGAGGCTTTACTCTATTTTTATAAAGCATAGACCTTATAGAAATTGCATCCAAATAAAAAATACTAAGCAAAACCTTTACTTATTCCAAGACCTAGGAGGCCCTTCATGATCACCATGCCTGCAACAAACTTGGGGAAGAAGACAATAATCACAACAAGCTCCACTGAAATCATAAAAATGAACAAGTAAATAATCAGTAGTGCTGCCAAGGCATAAGTGTGCTCAGATTTAACTGGAAGCCTCATCGCCAAGGCAGAGGCCATGGCTATGGCCAAGGGGCCTATGGCTCTGTAGGTTGGCTTTATGTCCACCGGAGCACCACTCGGTTGCTGGATTTAGGTGTAAAGGGCCTGGATTCTGGCAACGGTTGGACGGAGCCGCTGAGCCCATTTATTTTCGGGCTCGAATTCATCGTAGATGGTTGTTTACTGGACCCATCCTGTGGAAGATGAGGGAAAAAGTGGCGCCCTGCATGGATGAGAAGGCCTAAAAGAGTATAGGAGGAGGATCGGAGATCAGTGCAAATCGAAGCCACAGAAACCTTCCTAATAAGTTGCATCATGGAGAAGGAAGGGGCTACAAATAACAATTCCTTTTTTCTTTTTTTTTTGGTATTTCGGTGGGAAAATAGCGAAAATTTGTTTGAAATAATTTCCAATTTATGTTGGAAAAGATAAAATTGAAATCTGAATTCCGGAAACAATTGAGGTTCGTAGATACTGCCACTACATACACTACCTCAAATATTAAAAAAACAATTGAGGTTCGTGTTAATGTATGAAAACGAGTAGCACGCAAAATGGTGCGACCACCATGGAGCGCACCCGATACTCCCACACTTGCACTGCCCTCCCTCTTTATTCCACGTATATGCTCTATAACGCTATCTTTTACTCTTCTTCCTCTCTTTCGTTCCCCTTATATAGTACGCTTCTTCCTTGCACTTTCTCTCTAAAATATAATAACAGGACTTTCTCTCTCTCTAAACAAAATGTTTGTTCTCTCCAAACCATTTTCCTTCATTGGATGAACCTAGGGAACATATCACCTCAATCAAACTGTGGAATCGTGTTAACGAAGGCCCAGGCATTACTTTTTTAGGGCCAAACCGCCCAGCCCATTACCAGCCTTAAGTCACAGTGTGGACATGATGGGTTCGTTGCACCTGACTTTATTGGATCGGGTCAAGTCCAGGTCCAAATCAAGGTCGACCCTCCCTAACCCAACCCGACAGGTTGGATTAGGCTCCAATATCCCTGGCACTTGTATGAGCTAGGTCTGAATTCAAGTATAACCCAATCAGGTCAAATCGGAATTAGGGTCAATATGGACCTAACCCCACCCATTAATGGGCTGAGGCACCATTTTCACGGATCCTCGGAAAGTCTTGAAATAGAAGCCAGCCAGGATAGTCTCCAATGAAACTCATGCAAGCCCATGAACTCATTCTCATTGATGAAACAAATCCATTGCTCCAGCCAGAGCATACTGTACAACAACTCCCTCGGGCCAATTTGTTACTTAGGAGAATTCATTCCATTCAAAATTTTGGCATCTACCTAGGTATAATAGATATTGTTTTCACAGAAAAAAAATTTTGCATTTTGAGTTCTTGGCATCAAGATCTTTTCTTCCAAAAATTGAATGGCTATTGGTCTTGAAATATCATTCTTTTTGAGTTCTTAAACACTTGTCACTTCGCTGCAACTTCTAAAACGAAAAATCATTTGCAGGTTTTGTTGAGCATGACTTTTAGGTGGGGACTTTTAGGTCTAAGAAAGCGAGAAGTTCACAAATATTGTCCACTTTGACCAATGTGATAGGATCATTTTTTGACAAAATTTGATAGGATAATAACATAGAAATCGACAAGGTTTTTGGACTCGGGCGAGGTTAGGATGTACGGTTTTTATTTTTTTAAAAAAATCTCTTTTATTTCACTACAAAAAAGCAACGCTTTGAAAGGGGCAGGAATTGAGGGCTGGACCTCTCGTTAATAAAGGTATGCTATTATATATAAACCTTATTTACTTTTATTATTCTTTTTTTTAGCATGACATGAACGCCCTCAAGTTTTGATGGTCTTTCACAATTTCGTTAGAAAATTAGGAGAGTTTATCAGAGATTTGGCGGCCTACAGGGGCAGCCCGGTTCCTAACCATTTATATTTAATTTTTCTGCTTTTTTACGGTTGTTTGTTTTTACGTAGAGCAGAGAATCAAACAAATTTACTGATCCAGAATGATAATTCAATGATCTAAAGCTGTTCTAAATAGCCAGTTTGCCTAGCTGATCCGGCTTTTTAAACACTAGTTTAGAGTATCAACGAGGTTAAATATATGCTTTTTGGAAAAACATGCCCTTGGTTGTATTGTATGCTTTTTGGAAAAAAGCCCTTGGTTTTGTCGTGCGTCTGTTAAACATGTCAAAGAAGTTTGTATTATTTATGGAAGTGGGGTTAAGAAGTACGTAATATTTATGGAAGTGAAATAAGATACCGCATTCACACCTGCGGGCAAAACACTTCCCTCAGAAAAGTTTTTTTGATATTCAGAAAAGATTTCTATTGCTGGAAAACCCTCAAATCTATCTTCTCACTATGTAGATATATCCATTAAAAAAAATAAAAATAAAAAAAAAAGAATAATAATAAAGAAGAGGAATTCAAGTCATAAAAATAATCATTTTTTGATGCATTATCTCAGCTATTCATTTTCAAAAAATTTAATTATTTATTGATTTGATGGTTTTACGCCATTTTTTAATTAATTTGTTATCTTTCCGTGTCATTTTCATTGTATTCATCACAGGGATTGTTAATTTGTTCTATCATTTCATTGCATTCATAAAATCCCAAACCCCCTCCTATCACTACTGTAATAGGGTTTTCACAAGTTTGTTGGCATCACCAACTGCTTTACTATTGGTGGGAAAAAAAATCACAATATGCAAAAACCCACCATTTTATTCAAGATTACAACTGCAATGCTCTAAGCCTCTAAATAAGCACAGCTGAAATACTTCAGAAAAATAAAATAGAGACAAGACAATAATCACACAGCATCTCTCCTACCCAATCAGCAACTTGTTCTCGTCCAAGAAGTTATAGGTCGGGACCTCGAGATTATAAGGTGCCGGGCCCTTCCGAATCCTTCCAGAAATATCATAGTGGGACCCATGGCAAGGGCAAAACCAACCCCCGTAATCACCAGCATTAGGCAAAGGGATGCACCCTAAGTGGGTGCACACACCGACCACCACAAGCCATTCAGGGTTCTTGACCCTCTCTTCATCTGGTTGTGGATCTCTCAATTGTCCCAAATCAACGCTCTTCGCTAACTTTATGTCCTCTTCAGTTCTATGGCGAATAAAAACAGGCTTGCCCCTCCACTTGACAGTAACAGTGGATCCCGGCTCGATGCCCGAGAGGTCAACCTCAAGAGAGGCGAGGGCAAGAACATCCTTACTTGCAGACATGCTTAGGATGAATTTGAGGACCAAGAGGCGAATGAAAGAGGCATAAATGAAGCGACCACCAGTGAGGACGAAGTAGGCAAAGGCACGTTTGCTAGGGTCGCCTGGTGGGAAGCGTTCGTGGCTATGCTCATTATAAGTGATCTTCGAGGTGGGGTTCTTGATGGCAGCAACAGTGGCAGGAAGGTCAGGGAGGCTGAGGTCCAGCCTGAGTGCGAGTGTCTCCGAGGCAAAACCTATCGAAAGTCAAAACAGGGTGGTTAGGAATGGTGAATGGTCTCTCTCCACCTCTCCCTCACATATACGCACACACACGAGCCAAGAAAAGAAAATGAAAAGATCAAGATTGATTAGATGAGACTGGTTGGAATTTGAGGGGGAAAAAGGAACAAAGAAAATTGTTTGGCCCCTTCACTTGGTTGTTTGGATGTAACAAAACAAACAAATATGGCCAGAATATGGATTTCAGGTCACACACCAAAAGCAAATAATGATGGTTTATTTTCTGTTTTTGCAGAGTGTCGCACTTTTCAGAATAACATGGGTTCACGTGAATTTTGAGAGGGAAAAAGTTTATATAAGGTGTCAACCTTATAATATAGAAGTAAAATGCAACTCAATAACCCATAAAAAAAGGTCGTTCTGACCTTGGAAAACACTCCAAAGATCAACTCGACCATGAGATATATATAGATATGGAAGAGACACAGATTTCAAGTCTTGTAAATAGGGAATCTTATAACACATTATGAGGACCGTCCAGATTTTCAAGTACTATAGATCTGGTCATTCTACGCTATAGGGAGCTTTAAATCCTATACATGGGGAAAAAAATATTTATGGACCGTCATAGAGATTTTTGGCACAAAACTGCATTCTCAGCAAGGTTTGGAGGTCCGCCTTACTTGGATCCTATAGGGTTGAAGCTTCACACAAACCACACCCTTTTGAGAGAGAGAGAGTGTGTGTCTGTATGCGTGTGCGTGAGAGAGAAAGAAGGATTCTGCAAACATATTAAAAGAGAAGCTTCTATAGCCCAATCAGATTCTGATGTGTAAATTACCATATCTCAGAAAACAAAAACTGCCAATGTGTAGAACAATTTTTTGCTTTGATAGTAAATAATGAGCAGATCGATTACTAACGTTTCATAACCAGTACAGATGCAGAAAGCCATAAGAATAGAATATCCCCACAAAAATTCTATGACAAGAATCCGTATAGGAGATTATAGCCACACTTGGTTGAAGAGAGATGAGAAGCAGGTGCAGCAAATGAAATGTAGGGAGAGACATACATCAACAACACAAAAAAATCACGGGCCAGGACAGTGATCTCATGAAATACAATAAAACTACATGAAATTTCACATAGATGTTAGATAACATCAACTAATTTGGAATAAACTCTTTCTTTCTGTTTTTTTAAGAATAAAAAATTGGGGAGTAAATGCAATGACATGGGAGGACAAAAAAATATTTTCCTGTGACATTTACAGTGAAAGCATGATCAAGTGGCAACGATCGGGCCTGAGCCGAGCCAGGGTTGACCCAAGGCCCTAACCAGGCAAGGCCCCTGGCTCTAGTCCGGCTCTATTGGTCTATGGGTAGAAATGGCCCGACAAGACCCTATTGCCCACTATTTCTCAAATTCCAGTACTTATTTCCCTAACATAGATTGCAGATTTCTCATCTTGTTTCTACAATGAAATATATCTACAATGAAATATATCTCTTGCTAATTTGGATAAACTTCAATTGATTTTTCATATATATCAAATGGCACCTCTCTCTCTCCACTCCAATATGTTAAAGTACTTCATATATCCTCTCCCATAAATTGATTTTGTTTCCTACATAATCCATCTATCCTTATCTTTCAAAGGGAATTAAAGACATTTTCAAGGCACAATTCAGTAGGCAGATATAGTTCAATTTATTCAGTATATTAACCCTCTCTTCCTCTCTTGTTCTTTACCAAATTGAAAGAGATGAATCCAACAAATATAAGGCCACGATAGATTAAAAAGATAGGGAGAGATCATAGGGAAGCCCTATTACTATTGTAGGATTCTATTATACTCCCTAAAATACGATACTGCCCAATTTTACTTTTTCTCGGAATGAAAAAGTAAGAATGGCATGAATAAAAAGCAAGATCAATAAGATCCCCATAAAAGATTATTTATCATTTTATGTATTAGATAAAGTCTTAGACTAATGGTTCATCTACATTTAATCATGGATGTATAGGGATGATTTAATTACTTTTAGGTTTGCCATTACTATAACTTCTCCAGTTCTGGAGGTCATGTTCCCTAAATTATTGTGTGTGTGAGAGAGAGAGAAAGAGAGAGGCCACGCCTACATGGCCCTCCAGGAACTGGCTGGCACCCAGGCCTGGATTCAGCCCCAGGCCTACCCGAGGGCCAAAATATAAGCTTGGGCCAGGTTTATCTAGGGCCAGACCAGCCGGCACATTCCCAACCCTAATCAAAACTAATCCATGAATATGGCAAAGGATTGTACTATCTCCTAAATGTGTTTTGTTCCTATATAGGAAAATTGTTTCATGCAGGGCTAGACCGCATTTCTACAATATGTGGTCCCAAGGTATAAAGCATCCAACTTAAAGATGGATGCACATAGGTGGTCCATCTAAAAACATTTGAAACTAACGGTCCAAAAGTTTCCTTTATAGAATTATTATTTTTAATTTTTAAAATTTATTTATTTATTATATTCATGATCTACATGTTAGAGATTACACGTCCTTAAAAATTAAGTCCAAAAATCCATCTCAAAAATAGATTTTTAAGAGGTGACTCATTTCTACATGGACTAATAGAAACCGTGTTCTTCTACATATGATCCAATATGTATTTCCAAAAATCAATTTTCCTTGAAACTATAACAATGGTGACAGTGTCTAACAAAAAAAAAGAAAACTGCATAAGAATGCATTCAAGATTTAATGTCAATTATTTAAAGGTCATTTCAAACTAAATAAGCTAATGAACAACATTGAAAAAGAAGGTACTAATGATTATGTACACAAACCCTTATTTCTTATTACTCTTTCAACATAAACATAAATAATTGCATTCATTCATGTCAACCATGCTGTGGAACAGATACTATTGCACAGGGCTAGATATAACATTGCAGAGTTCCAGAAAATAATACCCAGGTGTCTATGCAAACATGAGAAATTATATTCTCTTCATGCAAAGACCTAGAGCATGAAATAACCCTACCCTCCCTCTGCCTCTTCCTCCCTTTTCTGGCCCCCCCAAGGGAGGAAAGTGGCTGAATCATGTCCCCTTATGAGCAACAAAACAAAAAGGCAATGCAAAACTAACATTTATATCTAAAATAATAGCTATATTATTTCAGTATAATAAGTTAACATATTGTATATTCATACACCAGATCCAAAAGTGAAAGGTTCAATTCTTCTAACCCTGATTGTTTGAGTATAATAAGTTGGTGGACAATGAAGTTATAAATGATAATAAAACTTGAGGGTGATGACATCAAAGGATAGGCAAACTTTTTTTTTTTTGATAAATGTTAACATTGTATTACTGGCAGAAAGTTACATTGTAGTCCGAGATCACCCTAAAGAAGGGTGACTCAGTAAAAAAAGGTGCTAGCCTACCATATACAAAAAGGCCATTTAAAGCCACCCAATTACAACAGTTTACAATAAGCTTGTGCAAAAATACAAGGAGAAGGAAAAACCAAAAAAGGAAGCCATATTAAGTCGTGAGCCCCTGGCTTCTAGCACCCTCTTTCGCTAATAGATTTGCGATGTCGTTGAACGTCCTCCATATATGCCTCCAGGAGACGTCCATATCCCTGCATATATGATCAATTTCATCAAAAAGTGAGGCTAAGTTCCACGTTGGTGAGCTCATTCTCCTTGCCCAAGAGAGAACATTATAAGAGTCTCCTTCTACTAGCAGTTGAGGGCCCCAAGAAGGATCAAAGAGTTTTAAGCCAATTAAGAGGGCAAAAGCTTCGGCAAGGTTGGAGTCCTTTATGTCAATGATCTCAAAGAAGGTCAAAAGGACGTTGCTTTGATAGTCTCGAAAGACCCCCCCAGCCCCTGCCGGGCCAAGGTTCCCTATGGAGCACCCATCAAAGTTCAGTTTGATGCATCTTTGGGGTTGTGGTTGCCATGTATTAGGTCTAGTCACCACTCTCGGTTGGTGGTGAAGGACATTGATCCATTGGGTGAGAAAAAAACTCCCTGGGATCCCTGAAAAAACCTTGTGGTTGGAGGCTCAAAAGGTGACCAGAGATATAATCTTGTGAACGAGAGCTGGTGTGTGAAGTTTAACGCCTTGGAAGATTCTAAGGTTTCTTTCCAACCAAATGGACCATATGGTTGCTGCAATAGTTGCCTTCCATAACAATCTTCCTGCCTTCGGCCAGTATGAATCGAGATCGTAAGAGTCAAAGCCTTGACCGAAGGGGGATAATCCATTGTAAGCCAAAAGTTGCAACACTTCGCCCCAAAGGTCGAAAGTGAAGTCACAGTGGATGAACTGTTGGTTCGACTCCTCCTCGCATAAGCATAAGGCACACCTATTGGGGAGCGGGATCCCTCTCTTTTGAAGTTGATCCACGGTGAGAGCCCTATGAGAGCATGCAAGCCAGTGGAAAGTTTGGACCTTTGGTGGAGCAATGGTGGCCCAAACTTTGGATTTGATTGCTGTTGGGTTTGCTAGGAGAGTAGGAGGCAGAATTAAGCTTTTGTAGAATGATGCTACCGAGAAGATACCAGAGGGAGCTAGCGTCCAGATGATAGCATCACTTCCTTGAGGCGATAGGAAGTGTGAGTGGAGAGAAGTCGAGAGAGACTGAAAATCGTTTGTTTCGTCTTCAGTAAGATTCCTTCAGAAGGAAGGGTTCCATACTCTATGTTCCCCTGTTAGTACCAACTGAGGATTCTTTGTTTTGAGCCAGAGAGTAGAGGGTAGGGAACACCTCTCTCAAAGGGGAGGATCCTATCCACAAGTTGGACCAGAATCTCACTTTAAAGCCCACTCTAGGATGAAACCTTATAAATTTTAGAGGCAAACTTATTGACAACCAGGTTTGGATATTGACATATGCAAGCACGTACAATTGAAGAAGCTATTAACAAAATGGTCACACTAATGCGTATTTCATTCACTGCCATGGGGCATAGGGCATGTGTAGGACTTGGGCCAAAAAAAAATAATAAT